AGGCGGCGGGTGTCGCGCGGGGTCCGGGGGGGCGGGCGGGCGGGGAGAGCCGGGCCGAGAGCGGGGAGTCAGTAGGAGACGGAACCGCCGCCGGGACAGAGACCTCCGTGCGCAGCTGGCCTGTGATCCGCGCACACGGCCTTTCACTACAGCTAGGCCCATATCTATTTCTCACTAGAATGTAAACACACACGTGCGTGTGCATGTCCGGGGGTGTGCGTGCATATGTGTGTGCATGCTTGCGCGTGCCCATGCATGCACATGCGTGCGTGACGGCAGGTGCATACGTGCAGATGCACGCGTGTGCGCAAATGTGCGTGCATGAGTGCAGATGCGTGTGCACAAATGTGCGTGCATGAGTGGAGCTGTGCATGCATGAGTGCAGATGCGTGTGCACAAATGTGCGTGCGTGCAGCTGTGCGTGCATGCGTGCAGATCCGTGTGCATGCAGATGGGCGTGAGTGAGGTGATGCGTGTGCACAGATGTATGTGTGCATGCACTTGTATGTGTGGTGTAATATATAGGAAGTGTGTGCATGTGTGCAGGTGCATGCACATTCATTTCATACTTCTATATCCTTCCTGTTTCCAGCACAGTCATTTCAGTAAGGAAGCAGCAGCACATCTGGGCTGCCACAGTTTCCCCTTCTGCGACTGCCCGCGGCCCCTCCGCGCGCCCCTCTGGCCGGGCTGGAAGCTGTGGTTGACTCTGTACAACCCGAGGCCTTGCCATGAAAGCGGCGGTGGCGGCACTCGGAAATCACAGTGCCTTCCTGGGCTCCCCCCTCCCCCAGGTCTCTGGTTAGATTAGTTTTCAGATATGTTTCGGGGTGTGCTTTGCAGTCATCTAACGGCACATGGTGTTCAGCTAGTGGATGGGTATGGTACCTGTCCCGTCAATAAAAGATGATGCTTTGACAAGTGTTTCATATTCCTGTACTCTTGTTTTGGAGAGCACATTTTTTTTCTTTCTTTAAGCTTTTTCTTTGCTTAATTATGAGTTTAAAATGCTGGTGCCTTGGACAGCACTGAGAGGAGCTTGCGACTGCCTCTTTGGAGGGAACATTAGGATAGGAAGTCCATACATCATCTGTGGTGCCATTAGTTTGATGCCAGAAGCCAGCACGCCTGCCCAGGACCAAACACTGGTTAAGACCCAGCTGCATTTAGCAGATTGGCTCCTCCCCATCGCTAAGTGCAGCTTAGAAACAAGGAAGCATTTTAGGAAGGGAGTAGCAGCTCCCATGTTAGGGAGCAACAGAAGAGTGCAGGTCCAAAAATTATTAGAACATGCCATGCCAAGGAGTGAGCTTCATTTTATTTTCCAGAGATTCACTTATTTTCCAAAATGGTTGGTATGGCTGAACTGGTGCCAGCTTAGCAAGAAACTGTGTTGTTCATTGAGGTTAGTTAAAATAGAACTGAAAGACTGCAATGCAGATATCCAGATAATTGTGGTTCAGGCTGATGAAGCATGTTCTGAAGAAATCAAATTTAAAACTTGAACCCTGTGTCTTCTTCAGGGAAGAGTTAGGGAGACGTTGCTAGGAAATAATGAGTGCTGTTACATTGTACTGATTCTAGGGGTCCGAGGGCAAGTTGTTCCTAGCTAAGGGCTTTGTTTTTTGGTCTAAGTATCTTTGGTCTGGCACTGGTTAACCTCCTAAATCTTACAGCCTTTGCAGCTCTGCCAGGGAAAGCATCTCCCCAATTGCTAATGCAGTTTTCAGGTGACAGCTGGCATTTGAGCCATTCTTGTGCAGACCTGTTCAGTAGCTGAGTAACAGCTGTACTAGAGCCATCAGCAGTGAAGCTGCATTGTGGAAATTTTTAGTAGAGATTGTGTTGACAGCCTAATTGCAGCACCATTTTTCGGAAGTCTGTTAAAGGCAGTGTACCTGGGTTTCGCAGGTGGATGTACAGGTGAATGTGCTTAGAGGTACATTAATAAAGTGCATTACTGTTTCAGAGTAGGGACAAAAAGCCCTTAGTAATGGGGTGTGCAGATTCCCCTCCTTATGCAAGAGGTAGATATGCCTACAGCATAACAGGCTTTCTTGTACTGTACTGTATCACTGCTGCCAAGATGTGTGTCGTTCTCAGTCTCGGGTTCCTTAGATCCATGGTTTTAAACCTGTGGTCCGCAGACCTCCGGGGGTCCCTAGAACATGTCTAAGGGGTTTGCAAAAGATAACAGTGAGAAATCACAAGCATGTGAATACCCACACTTGCAATTCAGAGGGGTCCGTCCATAGCTCCATGCAAATTTGTTAGGGGTCTGCAAATGGAAGAGGTTGAAAACCACTGCTGTAGATTATACATTAAATACTCTGGCACTGCACTGGAGGGGGACACTATGAAACCACCATAACAAAAGCTTTATAACCCAAGAAAAGTAGGTTGTCACCTATGAAATCTCATGTGACTGAACAAGTTAGTGCCACCCTGTCTTACCTTCTGCCCAACTTAAGGCTAACAGATCTAGATATCTTTTACTGCAAGTCTTATCACACTTCCCCTGAACAAATGCTTTAGAGCCAACTGTCAGGGAAACAAGTGGTAGAGAAAAACTGAGTCCTGTAGCAAAAGCAGAAGAAATCTTGCTTATGATTTTCAAGAAACAGGAAAAAACAGGCCCAGAATCTTAAAGCAAACAAATATTATGCATGCCAGCCAAGAACAGCCAGCTAAAGACAGGCTGGTTGTGAAAGTGAAACTTTGATACTCTTGATAAGTCTTGTTTGCTGTCCTTACAAAGAGAGGCAGTGTTTAGTGTGCAAAGCCCGCAACTACCCATTGCTTTGTTCCTTGTTCTGCCACTGAGTAGCCGGTTGGTATTTGTCACATCAATTAGAGCCTCAGCATAAGTTTTTAAAAACATATTTTTCTCTTGGAAAATTGCCTTGTTGTTGGAAGTGGGGGTGCAGCAGGGACTAGTGGATAAGACACTGGGCGGTGGCTTTTCTTCCTAGCTCAGTCGCTGATTTGCTGTGCCTGCTGGCTTTGGGTGAGGCACTTCCCCTCCTGCACAACTTTAGCTGGGTTGCAGCCAATTCAGGGTAGGGACTAGACTTTATTCTTTCTATGCCTTGCATGTCAAGATCCTCCTTTTATGTGGGGCTGCTGACTACTACTCGGACAGTTCCTCTAAATCATAAGGAACTGGATGCCTCTGCTCATACAAAAGCCTCTCAATCGATATCAGTTTTTGTAATAGGTGTTGCAAGATAAAAGGTTTGTTCCTTCCCTGGCCTCTGAAATGCTGGAAGCTGCTGGGGGCTTGGGTCAGAGGTTGGGTTAGTCTATAAAATGCCAAGAGCAGGGTCTCTTTCTGCTATTGTGAAACAGGCTACGTGGTAGATGATCAACCTGTGGGCTGACCCTGTATGGCATTGCTTATATTCTTATTTGTGCAGGTTTTATATTAAAACAGAGCTTCCCTTCCCCCCAGCCTTGTTTGGGATATCTGTCCCTTCACAGCATCTAATGATGATGGAGCAACCCCTCTGCTTATGCTGTGCATCTCTGATTTAGTTAGGGTAGATTTGCACTATTGTAGATAACTTGAGATTTCCAGCCCATCCCTGCTCTGACATTTGCATACAATATATCATATGCCTTTACAGTGTTCTGTAGCAGGAGTAAAGCAAGTGAGTTCAAAGGGTCTTAAATGTTTTACTACTTATTTAGCAGCTCTTAGACCGTTTTATCTTGGTTTGCCCATATCTGTCCCTAAAACCCAGGTGAGATCCCATGTGCCAATTCAGATTCAGCTACTGTACAGTAAGAAATAAGATTGAACTTCTTCAGTGGAAAGAAATTGGTTGATAGACACAAGAGAAAGCAGGTGTTTTTCTGATGCTAATTGAACAGGTGACAAGTTGTGGGGAGGCATTACTAGTGTAGTGTGGTATTGGATTATGGAACAGGTTTATCCAGAGAGGTGAAGGACTGTCGATCTTTGGAGGTTTTCAGGGCCCGGCTAGACAAAGCCTTGGCTGGGATGATCTAGCTGGGAATGGTCCTGCTTGGAGCAGGGGGTTGGACTAGATGCCACCTCCTGAAGTCCCTTCCAAGCTGAACTTGCTATGATTTCTCTGGTACCATGTTTTGTGTTTTCCCCTCCCTTTAACCGTTTGAATCCAAAATTGATTCTGTTGTGGAAGGAAAGTTTCTGAAATACAATTTACTGGATTTTTTTTAAAAGGAGTAGTTTATCAGTAGAAGCTCGCCTTATGCAGTGCATGCCTTTGAAAAGGAAAAGCCCATTAAGATGGGCCCATTGCAAATAAGTTTGTCTGCACCAGGATTCTAGACACATCAGCAGTGACAAATACACTGCCATTGATGGTTGATTTAAAGAGGTTTACAGAGCAATTTGCCAATGATCCATTTTTTTCTTTTAAATTGAAGCAATCAATTTAAAACTAGAACTGGATTTTTTTCTCCCCTCTCCCTTTAAATTGGTTTTGCAATAAAAGAATGTTGCATAATTTTTTTTGCAAGTGTTAATTGTTAACATTTATCTCTCAAAGTTTAGCTTGTTTTTGTTTCATTATTGGCAGTTCTTTGAGTATCTTCAAAGACTGAACGTTCCTATAACATGGCACATATATCACAAGTGAAAAATAAAACTTCGGCAAATGAAGTCTGGACCCATTAAAATGGATTTTTTAAATGGAGGTTCTGAATTTTCCACGCTACAATTTGCAAAATAGATTTTTTTTTTTGAAGTGCATAAAATAAGTCTTCAGTGCAGCACCGCCACCTTTATTGCGGTAGGCAATACAAGGCTTCTGTGCAATACAAATGTTGC